GAGTGCTGTATGAATGTGTGTGTAGTAGAGTGCTGTATGAATGTGTAGTTGAGTGCTGTATGAATGTGTGTCTAGTAGAGTGCTGAATGTGTGTGTGTATGTGTAATAGAGTGCTGTATGAATGTGTGTGTGTGCAATAGAGTGCTGTATGAATGTGTGTGTGCAGTAGAGTGCTGTATGAATGTGTGTCTAGCAGAGTGCTGTATGAATGGGTGTGTGTGTAATAGAGTGCTATATGAATGGGTTTGCATAGTAGAGTGCTGTATGAATGTGAGTAGTAGAGTGCTGTATGAATGTGTGTGTGTGTGTAGTAGAGTGCTATATGAATGTGTGTGCGTAGTAGAGCGCTGCGTGAATGTGTGTGTTGTAGAGTGCTGTATGAATGTGTGTGTGTAGTAGAGTGCTATATGAATGTGTGTGTGTTGTAGAGTGCTGTATAAATGTGTGTGTGTAGTAGAGTGCTACATGAATGTCTGTGCGTAGTAGAGTGCTGTATGAATGTGTGTGTGTAGTAGAGCACTGTATGAATTTGTGTGTAGTAGAGTGCTGTACGAATGTGTAGTTGAGTGCTGTATGAATGTGTGTCTAGTAGAGTGCTGAATGTGTGTGTGTGTGTAATAGATTGCTGTATGAATGTGTTTGCGTGCAACAGATTGCTGTATGAATGTGTGTGTGTGTTTGTGTACTAGAATGCAGTATGAATGTGTGTGTAGTAGGGTGCTGTATGAATGTGTGTGTGAAGTAGAGTGCTGTATGAATGTGTGTGTAGTAGAGTGCTGTATTAATGTGTGTGTGTGTGGTAGAGTGTTGTATGAATGTGTGTGATTGTATTAGAGTGCTGTATGAATGTGTTTGTAGTAGAGTGCTGTATGAATGTGTGTGTATTAGAGTGCTGTATGAATGTGTGTGAGTAGTAGAGTGCTGTATGAATATGTGTGTGTAGTAGAGTGCTGTTTGAATGTGTGTTTATAGTAGACTGCTGCATGAATGTGTGTGTAGTAGAGTGCTGTATGAATAAGTGTCTGTAGTGCAGTGCTGTATGAATGTGTGTGTATATAGCAGACTGTTGTATGAATGTGTGTAAGTAGTAGAATGCTGTATGAATGTGTGTGTATTAGAGTTCTGTATGAATGTGTGTGTAATAGAGTGCTCTATGAATGTGCGTGTGTAGTAGATTGCTGTATAAATATGTGTGTAGTAGAGTGCTGCATGAATTTTAGTGTGTAGTACAGTGCT